TATGCCAACAGTTTTTATCATCTGTACAGGTTTAGGTTGAGTAAAAGTGGAATCACTATGGGTATTTTTTACATTTTCAAAACACAACTCGACCATTCTTACACGAAGTATTCCAAGATTCCAATCCCCGTGAAAGGTACATGGTTTCACACTTTCACGGTAAAGTTTATAATTTAGGACTTTTAATAAATTTTGTTTTTCTCAATTACTATTTTGTTTTTTTTCATATTATTGAAACTTAGTGTCATTTCTTACAATTGTAGCAATAATACACATAGAAACCCAATCTCTCAATCCATGTTCGCAATGCCTTTGACTTGCAGGCGGGAACCTAATATAGAAAGAATGTGAATGATTAGAAAAAAAAAATGGAGAAATCAAGAAGAAAATCCGACATATTTGGAGAAACACTTGTGGGACTAGATTAGTAGCATATTGGGAGATGAAGACGACTAAAGCAATTTCTACACACAAAAAAAACTCGCAAAATCGGAAAAGCGAATGAAATGGAAAAAGCATCATTGTGCGTAACAGCGGTGCATAGACTATTGAGACTCGTGAGTAAGAGTTGGTAAATTTCTTTTTCCATAAATGTTTTATTTACTCTAGACTTATAATTTTATAATTATATTAGTACTTACATCAATTTTTTAATTGAATAGATAGTTGAATCGGGTGGTGTTCCTCCTGATTGGATGGTCTTAATGGCAAAGAGGCACCAGAACAAAATAACCGGCCTCATTCAAGATCCATTTAGCTCAAGAGATCCTCAACAATGCCGAGAAAAAGAAGGAAGAACGCTTGACACAACTTTCTCAAGATGGGTTGATGTCCTCCAATGATTTGACTCATGAAAAGATCAACACCATTGTCTTTGCGGTAAATTGTAATTTACTTTTTCATTTACATACCTTAAATGTTAGTTTTTAGTTTTACTAATCATTTTTTCTATAGGAAACTCAAATTTAGAAGGGTTGCATATTTGGCTTAGGAATTCTTTTGTTCCGTGATGGGCAAAGTTCTTCTTCATCATTTAATCAGCCGTCTCCTCACCCCGTTGATGAAATCGAAGGATTGAACAACATCCTCACCAAAGAGAGGTTAGCGCACGAGGTTGAAGTAGTTACACTAGCGGCTGAACGACTTATGAGAAGGAGAAATTGTAGACTCAGCAAAAATTTGCAAAGTTTGAGGCGATGTGGCTCACATTCTTCCCATCTAATTTCGAAAATTCCGCAACCCCATAGTTTACGGTTTATTTGCAATGAAGTTTTTTTGTTTTTTAATTATGTTTTTACATTATTAAAACATTGTTTTTTTTATAATTTTAAAGATTTAATGCATTTCCGGTTTTAATTAATTGTTTAATTTTATTTTATTTTGTATAAACATAATCCATTTCGGAATCCTTTCACAATGCATCCGTCGGGATTCCGTCACAATGACACCGTCGGAAAGTATGACATTGCATAGACCGGAAAATCCATTGTCACTGATTTTTAAAAGACTTTTTTGCCACATAGGGATAGACTTTTCTCAAATAAGTCGCTCAATCATGATTTCAATTTATTGGTTATACTAGATTTTTTTACTACTCGGAAATAAAAATTGATGATTTTTTTTAATAATATACGAAAAAAAATTAGAAATAACCAAGATCAAATGGGGTATCTCTCATACAGTTGAATATATTTTTATCTTACAAAAATTAATTTGCATAATATTTAGATTGAATGTAAGCATTTTTTAATGTAAATTGAATACGTTTGAGATTATGGTTATTTCAAACTTATTTGAGTTGATCAAAACAAAAATCAAATATCACATTAGTATGTAAAAATAATTTCAAATAAAAAAAATCAAAGAAATAATACAAAGTTAAAAATATCAAGTTTCAAAATTCAAACATTAAGTTTAATTTGTAAAGTTGTACGTTTAAAAAAAAAGCACAACTTTAACTAGAGTAATATGGATACAATTAAGCGATATAAAATAAAATAATTGAATGATCAATCACATATGATATCCAAATGGACATTAATACAATGTTTATAAAGTAACTGACATCGGTAAATGATTTATCGTTAAAACATTATGTTATATAACATTTTAAAATATCAAAATACTACATTTACTTGGGTTTAAGTTTGTAAAACATATATTAATGAAGTTTTGTTATTAAATAAGTGAAAATATGTATAGAATTCTACCATGGCATATAATTTAAATTCAAATGTTTTGATTGGTTAAGTTTAAGGACATGTTTCTTAAAATTCTCTTTGAATGACACATATGATTTTTTCACTTAGTGTCTCCTCAAACATAGAGGACTAGATTTTGATCCACGCCAAGCGTGTGAT